AGCTTCCTGATAATCCAGTAACCCCTGAAAAATGCCATCCACTCTTCGACCCCACATGCTTTAACATATCAATCACAGCAGGAACCAATGAAACCTTTTAAATTAATCACCTACAATCACCAATTACTGCCTGAGGTAACTCAGGTCCTGAGAAGCTGATTCCACAGATTTTCTATGGAATGAGTTTTCCCTACATATGAGACACAAGGTTGTCAGAATATTGATGTAGAAAGAGGGATGAGGAGAAAGAGAAGACGAGATCTTTGTGTGCAAATGAAGCGAGAGCCGGATGAAATGCACAAAGCCAGCCTCCGCATTCTCAGAACTAAAAAATATGAGCTGGCTTTACAAAAACGCTTCAGATCATCTAAATATGAAACAGACAAACTCTAACATAACTCCACATGATATTAATAATGCAAAACAAAAGAGTTTCTTCTCACTTCCTGATCTGTTTAAGCATTTTTAGTCAAATTTGAATGTTTGGACACACGAAAAGGAAAGTTATAGTGACTCAGAGGGATGACTACAGCTGGAATCACTGGTAGAAGGTCAGAGGTCATGCTGGTTGGACACTATAGGCATGCTTACATTTTTGGATCTTCAGGGTCATTTCTAAGACGGATAAATTGACCAGGAGACACGATGTCCCGGTCCTCTGTTGCGTCTCCACACAGATTCAACCCTTTCAGGACTTTGCAGACGTCAGAATATCATGGCTGCTTTGGCAGTGAGTGATGTCACTGATCAGCACCAAAAAGCGACCACAGTAACATTAAAGCGTTTATTCTGTTGAAGTATGACAGTTCAATTCATTAGGAGGACCGGCTGTGTGATGTAAAATGGGGCGTTCGATGACCAGAAGCAGCGTCGGGTTTTTTTGGCGCTCTATGAGACGACAAAGCCCCGTGAATCATGGGGAGATTCTCTGAGCACGATGGGAGTTCAATAACGGCACCTTTAGCGCTTCTGCTTCCATTCTGCTTCACAAGTAACTCTTCTAATTTTACTAATGCTGGTTGTTTTGGATGACGTCTGCTGATGTCATTTGCTGCTGGGTTCCGACTATCGTTACGGTCCACACCCCTCAGCGGCAGCTCGGCGCATCTCTGATCGCAGCGGCGCCTGTCTGCTGCTGCTTGTGGAGCTCTCGGAGACCTCTGTGGTCCACCCGGTTTTACCCAGCGGTCAGCCCGGCGTCTCTCTGACTCAGAAGCTCCGGTGTTTTGCACAGTTAACTCCGGTTGTAGCTACGTAGCTACCTCCGTTAGCTTAGCTCCCACCTCCACATTAGCTTTGGGTTAGCTTGTGGCTACATCGCTTCAGTTCACGGGTGTTGTCATTTGATCCCAGCCTTACAGCCTCACCCTAAGCCCCTCCTCTCTTCCCTTTTTTGGAATTGTCTGGGCTTGACGGAACCTGTGACACGGTCAAAATGGCGGTGGTGGCCACCTCCCATTTTGGCACACAAACTTATAATTGGAGCCTATGGACACGAATTGTCCAGTATATATGTGGATGGTTGATGCAGGTTTCAGCCCCCTCCTTGTTGGCTCTTTCATATTTTCTGTGCGACCCGGAACCTGAATCCTCCTACAAGCACACCAGATGTTGGAGCTCGCCATTCGTTTGATCAGGTTTGTGTACAGGCCTTGAACGGTTTAGACATTTCCAGATGCCTTTTGGGAGTCTGGTTTCCTACAGCTCATGCCTAACCCCTCTCTTAAACCTCTCCTTGGTATGCCACCAAGTGTTCCTCCCTCTCACCTACTCACCCACAGCTCTGCCCTGCTGGATTCTCATCTACAACTGAGGATTCAAGTCAAGGGTTAATTATATCTTCACCGTTCTCAAGCTCCTTTTTCCTTTTCGGTCCTCCGTTTGCCACCCATTATCCCATCTGCAGGATCTACGACGTTCCAGGGCAATTACCACCTCACAAGATTCCTTAGTATTCTTCCATCGTTTAGTCGCTGATGTCTCCGTATTTTTCTGTTAGATGTTTGTAGCAGTATAGTTTATCTCCCATCCACTGCACTTGTTCGTGCTAACCTGTTCCGCATTTTGGTATCAGCTTTGGTCCGGCCTGACATCTGTAACTCCGTCTAGTAGACGTGAAATTAAAGACGAGATCATAGCTTTGATCCAAGGAAAAGAAGAGCAGAGTGTAACTGCGGTAACGAAGGAGCCGAGCCGTCAAGGAGAGACAGTCTGGACATGTCCTGTCAGAAGGAGACCCCTAGGCTGATGTCCGTGACCAGAAGTTCAGCCTTCGAAGCTGCGCTACGGCGTTGAGCCCAGACCACACGGCGTGTTTCGGCTTGCACAGGACTGCTCATGACACGCGGAGAACTCTAGTGAGGCGGCTCGCTGTTCAGCCCAAGGTTTCGGTGACCCACCTGACGTATCGGGTGTTGTAGCGCGTTGCAGGATGAGATAGCTAGGTGTTTAGACTAAATATGAATGAAAATGACTGAAAATTAAATAGTAGAGTTTCATTCATTAAATGAGAAAGGAAAATGACGAGAGTCTCGTGACTCCCAATCTTTCACCCTCCTCGGCCTCCTCGTCAAGCCTTCAGCCTTCATGCAGCACACCTGGTCCCCTCATCCAGCTCCAGCCAAGCCCTGTTTCCCTGGCAACCACAATCAACTTCATTCATCTCACCTGTTCCTGTAATCAGCTCATCCCACACACCTGCTCCCTCTGCTATTTAACCCTTTGATGCATGAATTATGAAATCTTCAACCATGATTTTTTAAACAATTTTTTTCATTCATCTTTAGGTGTGAATGAAACAAATTTCAACAAATAATTTTGTAACATTTTGTTAATTTACAAATAATTTATTACATGTCCACCTCAGTGGACAGCGTGCATTCTGAACATGAAATATGTTGGCTTGACTTGCTGAAGCTCAAATGGAGAGGCTCACATGCAATAAAGTCTTCAACATCTGTGCTTAATAGCAAAAATAAATAAATAACAATTTTGAGTACCTGTCCACTGTAGTGACCATTATGCATCAAAGGGTTAACTCCCAGCCTGCTCCCCAACCGGTGCCAGATTACTGAACGCTCCTTGCTAGTAAATCTTCCAGCCTTGCACCTTGCCTGATCTCACCCCGGCTTTCCACAGGAGCCGTCAGCAGCACGTCTTGCTCGCGTAAGCTGCTGCTTGGCCCTTCCCACGAGACGCGAAGCAGCAGGGGAGCAGCTGTCACCGACAGAGCACGAAGTCACACGAGTGACTTCGTCAGTAAACACAACAACAAGCAGGAGAAAACTACAACATGGCTCCAAAAGGTTTGTGTTTTATGTTCTGTCCGTTTGGACCTGAAAAACAAAGGAGACCGCTAGCTAGGTGATAACTTCTCACGGGGCCGCACAGTTAGTAACTTTTTTAAAAGTAAAGCAACCGGAAGGCAGTACGTTTCTTTATTCTGAAAATCTCGGGAGCTTCTGTCCGTTTCTGCGTCCGATTTCCTGTCTTTCCTTCCCCAAAAATGTCGAACTTGACCCGTTTCAGAGGCGTCGCGCGTAGAAAATAGAACCGGCGCGTAAGGGCCGCGACATGCTGCTCCTGAGACGCGGCCGACTCGCGCTGCTGACGGCTCCGGTGGAAAGCCGGGGTCAGCCTCCGGACCTCGTTTTCACTCCTGACCCCTGCCTTGAACTCTGCCTGCCACCACGACCCTCACCTGTCTGCTACCTCGTCTCCAGCCTGTTCCCTGAACCTGCTTGTCCGGTCTGGTTTTTGACTCACGCCTCCTCTCCGACTCTGTCTCCAGCCTCGCGCTCCTCTGGTAACTCCACATCTGATAAAGACTTTTTCTTTAACTTTTACTGTGTCTGGCGTCATCACGGGCCTTCCGAGTTCTGATCGTGACAGAGAGGAGACAATCATGACCGTTCGTTTAAAACTCATCAAAATGACAACAAACATGTTCTGCTGCTGCTGCAGGAAATAAAACCCGGTGCCCCCTTCACTAGTTTATCACTGTAAGGGACGTGTTCGTTCTTGTTCTTTTTATCCATCCTCGCGCCTCAACTACAGCTGCGGCTTCCCTTAGCAACGTGAATCATGCACCCAAAATGGCGCTACGGGGGTGTGGTTGACATGCAGGTCACGTGTCTGACAGAGACCGACTGCAGGAGATCTCGTTCCAGCAGAACGAGCTAACGTCACGAGCGCACACGCCACTCTGCCGTTACACGTCCGCATGCTCATGCACGTAGCTTACACTGTCGCTTCTTCTACTCTCGTATACTCCCATCACTAGTTGTTCACATCGCTTCCTGGGTGTGTTTTCATTGGTGGATAGCAGACGAGAGTCGTAGGTCTTTAAGCAGTGCTTGAAGACCGTGGGAGGCTGACTTTGGTCATGAGGCTGCTCAGGAAGCTGTTGCAGACCCTCGCGTTCACTATTGGTCGTGATTCTGCTCACGACGAGGGTTTTGTCGAGGACGGCCAACAAACGCGCAGCGTGGTCCTGGCTTTAGTCATCTAAACGGAGTGTGGAGTTTCCTTACACCCTGAAACCAGTCAGCAAAGGTCTCCAGCTCCATCCTTCTGGATCAGACTCCTGGGACGTCCCGTAGCATGCTGAAGAGATGTGGAGAAACCTCAACATGCCCCGATAGGAGCAGGAGTGTGGAAGGAGAGAGGGAAGCCAGCGGTGCTTTCCGACGATGAAGATGATGGTGATGGTACTGAGGATGATGATGCTGAGCAGGAAGGACAGCATGAAGGCGATATGAAGAGGCGGTCTGGTAAAGAAGATGACATTAGACGACTGGATTCTGACGGAGTGAGAGAAAAAAGCACAAACAAGCACGAAGAGTTGTGGGAGAGGAAAGCTGATGCCTCATCACCTCAGCAGAATGTGATCAGCTGTCATTTCCTCCACCCCCCACCCACCCCCCACCCACCCCTCTGCACATCTCTGCATCGGCTGAGTCAAAGAAACTCTTATTCACAGCACTGCAGCAGTTTATCCATCATTCATCAACGTCTGCATCCACCTTTCCTCTCCACCCCCTTTCTCCTTTCAATCTCTCCTTCAGGACCAGGCGGAGCAGTAATTAGGAAGCAAATGCACACGTGCATCTTCAAATGGGCACAACCACATGGAGCCTTTTGAGTTGCCACACAAACATCCACTCCTGGAGCGAGACGGAGGGGAAAAAGGGAGCAGAAGAGAATATTAACGGAGGAAGAATCGATAACTTCATTTCCTGCTGCTGACAGAGGTTGATCTCGCCTCGCACCCGTAATCCTCGGAGTGAATGCGGACTCCTGTGCAAGAGAGTCAGTGAAAGCGGTGAAGGATAAAGCTGGCCAGGTTGTTCTTGCCCTGGGGCAGAGATGAGAAAAACAGCTCCGAGAAGCATCAACATCCAAAAGACTCACTGATAGAAAGAGTCCACGTGTGTGTGTGTGTGTGTGTGTGTGTGTGTGTGTGTGTGTGCGTGTGTGTGTGTGTGTGTGTGTGTGTGCGTGTGTTTAAACTGTTCTGATTCTTCCATCTTCAACATTATTTTCTGCCAGTGCAGAAAGACAGATTATAACCGTTCTGTTGGACAAACGCCAGTAACACACCACTCTGTGTGCTTAGAGAAGCTTTGATTTCACCTCAGAAACCAAAAGTTATCCATCTAAACTGTTTGATCGTTTCTGTTTTTCATCTCCATCTTAACCACCGCTTGATTTTCTCCTTCACCACCCATCCAAAGTCAGAGGACATTCCTCTTCCTTTCCTGGTCACCGCTTCTGTCATGATCCGCCCCGGCCTCCCTGACTGTGTCTCTCCTGCCCTGATTAGCCTAATTGTTCTCACCTGTCCCTGATTGCTCTGCCCATGTGTTCCTGATTCCCTTGTGTATTTATACCTCCCTCCGTGTTGCTGTCTTTTGTCGGTTCATTGTCGTTTGTGCATGTTCGTTCGTCCTGTTGCTCCCGTCCTACAATAAACATCTTTTTATTTTTTCATCCGTCTGCTTGCTCTTCTGCCTCCGGAAACCCACCACCACACATGGTCTGCCACCTCCACCCGCAGAACATGACAGCTTCTTCCTAAAAGGGTTGGAAAGTTTTTGCCTGACTGGGAACGAATGACGATCTGATCAACGGGCGGGATCGGCGCTGCGTCTGCCACGATGCGGGCGTCACCGGTCTGTTGTGGTGAAGAGAGAGCCGAGCCAATCTATCAGCAAGTATACGCGTGTGTGTTTTGAACAGTTCTACGTGCCTCTTCACTAGCGCGACGTCTGGAAAAGGACAAATAAAACAAAAATGACCATCAGCAGCGGTAGAAAAACCCTCCCTCCCCTTCCTGTCGGGGTGGATTTGCAGGTTTTTACCTGTTTTTATGGTAGCTCTGCTAGAACCTCACAACCAAGTATTACACTCACCACGTTTCACATCCAAACACAGACGATACCAAAGTAGTCTGCATTTCCACCTGGAAACCTCAGGTTCTCCTACTGGTGTGATTCCTCCCCGCCTCTTTGAGGAGGTTTTTCCCTCCGTGGGTCCTTGGGCTCTTACCATGGTAAACAGCAGCCTTTCATCTGGTGTGGTTCCAGAATCTGGGAAACATGCTGCTGTTCAGCCACTTCTTAAGAAGCCCAGTCTTGACCCCTCTACTGTGTCTAATTATAGGCCTACAGGGAGTGCAGGATTATTAGGCAAGTTGTATTTTTGAGGAATAATTTTATTATTGAGCATGTTCTCAATGAACCCAAACCCTCATTAATATCAAAGCTGAATGTTTTTGGAAGTAGTTTGTTTGTAGTTTTAGCTATTTTAGGGGGATATCTGTGTGTGCAGGTGACTATTACTGTGCATCATTATTAGTCAACTTAACAAAAAACAAATATATACCCATTTCAATTATTTATTTTTACCAGTGAAACCAACATAACATCTCCACATTCCCAAATATACATTTCTGACATTCAAAATCAATACAAAAACAAATCAGCCACCAATATAGACACCTTTCTTTGCAAGGACACTCAAAAACCATCACCCACAACTCTACAGCCAACGCAAGGCAAGCTAACGTTAGCGCTTTAGCTAAAATGCGTGATCCGAGGATTTGGGTTGAGGGAGAATGCAACGAGTCGCTATATAAAGCAGCCGCAGCGCCGCTACCTGCATATAAACCGTGTCGCGGACACCGCCATGTTGAAATGACGCTATGCATTACGGGGCTCCCAGGGACAGATAAGAGTTGGTCTCTCTCCGAGAATAATTATGAATTTAACAACGATTACTGCCTGATGACATTTTCCCACATCTGCAAAGCTCACTGGAAGGACACAAACCGAGGACAATATTTTCCTGATACAGGGTTTATTACTCAAGTAAGGGTAAAAAAGTATCTGATTAGAAGGCTACTTGAGTACTGAGTATCATCTGGTCTAATACTTTTAAAATGATGACATCAAACAGACATAAAATAAGAAGTTATGGGCAGATATCGGTATTTTAAAGACTAAAGGGGAAAAATGTAAACAAATAAACAACATAATTACAAAATAACAAATTTTAGGCTAAATTTAGACACAAATTGAGGACAATATTTCCTGATATACAGGGTTTATGTAGTTGTCTGAAAATGTAACGCGTTTAAAAAAATGCCGGGATAATTTCGGTCACAATAACCGTGAGGTTGAATTTTCACACCGTGACAACCCTAGTGTGTCATGTCCTCTAGCAAACCCAGAAATGAGAGGTTGGACCTTTAGGTGACAAGAAGGCAGCAGAAGGACCGCGGCGAAAGAGGAAATCTCAGCTTCCATCCAGCGTGTTCCGGTGAAGTGTTGCAGGGAGGGTTGAAACACACACATTCACACCCTGGTGGTGATGAGCTACGATGCAGCCACAGCTGCCCTGGGGCACGCTGACAGAGGCGAGGCACTACCGCTCCCTCCGAACCCCACCAGCAGACTCCTGTGCCACCTTCGGCCTTGTTAGGGAACCAGAAATTCATTTTGAAGTATCCGGATGATTTAATCATCCAGAACGGCCCTTTCAGGCCCTCTCCACCCGAGAGTCAGATGTGGCCGCTGGTCCGGGTTAAAATGAGAATAAAGGCTTTTGGATATTTTTTTAACCGTCGTCTGTCAAACAGGAGAAGGCTACTTAATAACACTCTGTTGTGCATTCTGGGTGAGGTTGCTAGGTGACAGAAGAGCCCAAATGGCTGGTGAGAGCATCCAGTGGTCAATCAGAACCGTGGGCTGACAGAAAATCTGCACTCAAGCCTTCAGCGTGTTCTGAAAGTCACATTTGGTGATTAGGAGTTGTTGGGTTGGAGGCTCAGAAGGAAGTTTTACAATCACGGTGAGTTTTACGCTCCTGGATGGTCGCACTCGCTCGCATAACCACTAGAATTTATTGTTAATGTAAAATTCAACAAGTGCTGCGGAGACGGTTTTTCATCCGGAACGCGTTGCAGCAGAACATTTATCTCAATGCTCCGTCGGACACTCGTGAAACTTCACAAACTTCCGTTACCTCCGACTTTGCAGTCCCAGATGCGCTTCCGAATCGGCGCCTTTTCACATTTTAATGGCCTTTTAGTTGCTGCTCTTGTTTCCCTGCAGGATTCTCCCGTTTCTTTTCTTTTTCCCCAGTCGGCCACAAGCCGCCTGCTGTCATGAGCCAGGGTTCTGTTTGAACGCGGGCTGGATCAGAATCAAAACCGAACAGATCAAACAGCAGATTACCACTAATATTCATGATGGCGGCATCAAACGTCTGTTTAAATAAAGTCCTGGAGCCGGTCCGATCGGCGTGTCGTCTGAAGCAACGTCGTGTTTGTGTGAATCTGCAGGTGAACGAGCGGTTCTTCACAGAAGCAGACTAAACGCGTCTGAAACAGCACATAATGCATTTTTACACAAAGATTAACTAAAGAAGAAGTCAATCGTTCTTAAGCCTTTAGGCTGTTTTCTACCTGCTGCCACAGATAATTTCTATTTATCTAATTAAAGCTAACAAGTACAGAGCACGAGCCCTCGCTGTGATAGGACAAAAGTCCCAGCTGACATCGTTAACTTTGGACTGAGACGGACGTGAAAAAAGGTGATTTAAGGATAAAGTGATGAGAACATCAGAGATGGGCCAATACGGAGACGCTGATGCGTGCTTTTACCACCAGTAGGATAGACTACTGTAATGCCCTGCTTTCTGCTCTTCCCAAAAAGAGGATCTAAGGTTTACAACTTCTACAAAATTCGGCAGCACGTGTCCTGATGAACAGGAGGCGGGAGCACATGACACCAGTTTTAGAATCATTGCATCGGCTCCCCGTATGTTTCAGGATCCATTTTAAGGTTCTTCTAACGGTTTTTAAGTGTCTTAATGGTCTTGGGCCTTCTTATCTATCAGAACTGCTTTTACCATATGAACCCTCGCGGACTCTGCGCTCCTCTGGCAGGCGTCTCCTGGTCATCCCTAAAGTTAGGACACACACTCACGGCGAGGCGTCCTTCCAGTGTTATGGCCCTCGCCTCTGGAACGAGCTGCCGGAGGACCTCAGGGCCGCAGAGAACGTTCATGTTTTTAAGTCCAGACTCAAGACCCGCCTCTTTAGGTTAGCTTTTATCTAAATATTTACTACAGTTTTATTCCTTGTTTTACATGATGATATGTTATTACTTGCTTTGCATGTTCAATATGATTATATTTTAGCACAGTTTTATTATTTAAATTATTATTTTACTGTATATATGATTTTATTTATTACTTATTTTCTAATTTTTGTCATTTATATTAGCTCTTATATTACATTTTTACTCATTTTAATCCAGTGTTTCCTCTGTGGGGGCCCTCTGCCCCGGGAGCGGTGGTCGACTGTAGCTTCCTGGGCGCTCTATAGGTGGGGGTCTCTGCTCCCCCTCCACTGAGCGCCCTGACTTAGTGTGGAAGACCTGATGCTGCCGGGGCAGACGGCTCCTCTGATGGCATTTCCTTGCGTTACCGTACTTGGCTCATCTGGACTCAGCCAAATATAATTTTTACTTGTGTGTGTGTGTGTGTGTGTGTGTGTGTGCGTGCGTGCGTGCGCTTGCATACGTCTGTTAATGTTTTTAACCTGTTATGGGAATCTGGGGTCATTTTGTAAAGCACTTTGTTTGAAAAGCGCTTTATAAATAAATTTGATTGATTGATTGATGAAACTCTTTGTATTAAATGGCGTATTTCTGGTTTTTAGCTTTCCAGCCATGCTGCGTCCATCTTACCTGTAGATGAGTATGTCGTCCGTGGAGCTGTTGTACTGGATCTGGTACATTCGGACTCCAGGAATGTGGTTCTGAGGCGGCCACCTGATGGTGGCGGAGCTGGAGGTCAGGTCCGACACGCTGACCCTCTGCTGGTCGGACCGCGGCTGGCCCCCGCTCACGTTGGATTTGATGGAGGTGGGGATGTCCGACGGTCCCGGGTCTGGGTCCAGTTTGGGGTCAAAGTGCGGGGACGGGTTAACGACCAACTCCACCGGAGCCGTGGCCTCGCCCGCTGCGTTGGAGGCTATGCAGGTGAACTTTCCAGAATCCTTCAAAACACAGGAAGTCAAAACATTTATCAGAGGAATTTAGGGAGATAAATAAGAGTCTTGTTAGTTTGCACATAAAACTGATATCTGAGACAAGAACAAATATTTTCTGTCCTGGGAAAGAGGAACAATGAGAAAAACAAGACGTTTGGAGCAGGGGCGGCGTTAGGCCCGGCTACTTGGGCTCAAGCCCCGGATGTTTTATGAAAAGCCCCGGATCTAAATCGCGGAAGTAGCATGCAGTACCAAAGTCCAACAGAGAGGGCGCAGCTGGCAGTAGTTTGTATACAGCCTGCCTGAGCCTCCACCACTGAAGAAGAAGCCCTTCAGCATCCGGCTTCTTCTACACTCTCTGCCTGAAACGCATGAGTGAAGATGGACATAAGGACGTTTTTTAGACCAAAAGTACGGCGACAGAACCCCAGCTTTGATGAGACTGGTGCTGACTCAGGTTTGTGAGTCTTATTTGAAAATATTTGTTGTGCTGCTGGTTTGCCTAAAGTTAGCTTACTATCAGGTAAAGTTGTTGGAGAAAGAACGGGAATATTTACTATCATCTCACACTAAACACTAACAGGAACAATACTCTGCCCTGAATATGCTGAATATGTAGCTTCGGATTAAAAATTATGTGGTACAAGTCATATACAGATGATATTGACTAGTGCGTGTGAGTGCGCGCGCGTGTTAAGCCCCGGATCTTCTTCAGTCCTAAATCCGCCCCTGGTTTGGAGCCGAAGTGCTTTGGTGACCTGTTCAGATGTCAGGCTGAGCAGGTCACGGTGACTCGGACAGAAGTGGTCGGGAATCGTGTTGTTTCTAAAAGCCTGCAGCTGTTTAAACATTTAAAAACATTCACCAATTCTGAAATCTCTCCACTGGTTGCCCGTGCAGTTCAGGATAAACTTCAAAATTATGCTTCTCACTTACAAATCCTTGAACCATCAAGCTCCTCCATATCTGTGTGAACTTGTCCATTACTACAACCCGCCGTGTGCTCTCAGGTCTGAAGATGAGCTCCTCCTAGCTGTTCCCAATGCACGTTTAAAAAGCCGTGGAGAGAGGGCTTTCTCTGTCTGTGTACCGAAGCTGTGGAACGCATTACCACTGCTAGTGAGGCTAGCACCAACAGCTAGCATTTTTAAATCACGCCTGAAAACTCACTACTTCAACCTAGCTTATACAACATAATTATGAACCTCACTCACATCTGCACTGTTTAAAAATGGACTTCACAATTATCGACTTCCGTACTATTGTGGTTCTTTTTAAAATGTTCTTTCTAATTTTTTTATTCACCCTGTGTCTCATTGATTTTTAGCTGTTATTTTTGGGAATTTCCTTTTTATCTTTTATCTGTGTTCGACATGTTTGTATAACGCCTGTTTAATTAACCAACATTTGTAGTGTACAGCGCCTTGTTTGGTTGTAATGCCTTGTGAATGCGCTTTATAAATAAAATTGGATTGGATTGGAACATTTAGATGCATCACCTAGTTGATGAAAAGTTCACGTAATGCAGTTTAACAGGAAAGTGAAGCAGATTTTTGTAGGATTGCTCTGGTGAAACCGCTGATTTCTGAGAATGTTTATTATTGTTTAAATGTAACTAATCAAAGAAATCTTCATCAGACTAAAAGTTCTGCTTAAGTTTTAAAAGAAAGTCTGAAAACTGGTGGAACACAGAAAAGCGGACGTCCACACGCGTCCTTGAACACGTCTACCTTGACGGTTGCCTTGAGGATATCAAGGGAACCGTTCTCGTAGCAGATGGTTCTGGAGGTGTTCCCGATCAGCTTTCCATCCGGACTGACCCAGTGTGTGGAGGGCTCAGGATCTCCGATGGACTTGCAGCGCAGGCTGACCTCCTGACCCTCCATCACAAACATCTTGGACGTATGACGAGTTATCATCGGGGGTTCGCAAACAAACTCTTCCTGCAAAACAAAATCAATAATCACTTTTATCTTTGAGCTCCAGACTGGTCAAATACCCCCCCCCCCCCGATGAATATTAGATCTTTTGACAAGTATATTGGTATTCTGGTCTTAACTTGTGGAAATGTGTGGATGATGGTGTTGTGGAGGCTCACATGTTGATAAATCTGTGCTTTATTATGGAAATACACTCGGTAACACTTCATTGAGAAACACCTGAAGTCTCTGGGCGACTCCATATTAGATGCCAAGTTTCCTTCTATGGGAGCCTGTGAGGACAAAATGCTTTTGCTAATTTGGGACAAATGGTCACACATTTGTTGCCTTTTATAATTGTTGCTGTTTTACACGTTTATCTCTTCACCTGTCGCCAGTGATGAAAGGCAATCTGATGTTCTTGTTATTTTACTGGAGGCTGCGCTCCCAGGGATTTTTGACCCTAAAGGCCATCCGTTGGTACGGTCTTACTTAAACACAAAAATACAGCTTGCTTGCAACGATTCAGGTGTGTACTGCCCCCTATCTCCAGGGAAAATCCACGCTGTCAATTTAAACCAAAGAGCTTTTGTGTTGAAAAGTAATGAAAAAAACTGCTTCAGCGTTAACTTCAGCTCGTCGGCGGGTCTTTTCCAGTGAGACGGGAGCTCTTGCACATCGTTGTGTTTTTGTAACAAGTCTCCAGACTCTGCTGATGAAATAACATGTATTTGCTGCAGCGCTTCTTCACTGTTCCTGCTAAATAAACCAGATTAAATAAATGTTCACACTGTTAAGGCCAAGCACCGGGCTGAGCGTGCTTTACCCTCTTGTGGTTTAATTATCAACTGCAGCTCTGCTTTCATCTCCTGAGCAGCAGAATGTGGGAGCAGAGGCAACGGTTTCTGATCCGAATGAGTTTTATTTTCTGTAGCATCACCACCTCATTCGTTACAACCAGCAGGGACGTTTGTGTCACCGAGTCTTTGACCATCTGGCTCAGTGATGTCACAAAGGGAACATACTGCCATTTTTATTTACATGTGCAGCTCAGTAAACTAAAAGTGAACTCAAATCCTTTCGAAAGGCCTTGCTGACCATCCCCGAGCTTGCACCTGAGGTAAGAGCTTAATCTGCTGTTTTGTGGGTCAGCTTCTCTGCGTGAACGCTGTCCAGGACGGCTCAGTGTTCAAAGTCTCAGAGGTTTTATTTACATGCATCCATAAAAGCCAGCCGACAGAAAGAGACGGCCTATTTTTAGTGCATGGAACCACACGACTCCTGCTTCTGAGAGTTGTCTCTGTTTTGACACCGACCATCTGCTCGCTGATTTGTCTTTGAAAAGGAAAACTATTACGTACCTTCAGAGGGAAAACAACAGTAAGCAGCGCATCTCGCTGCAGGGCTTGACACATGAGGTGAGGTCGGGAGGGATTCAAGGCTCCCGTTATAAAATGTGGAAACTTTCAGTCTGCGAACCAACAGAGGTCGAGCTGAAGGTCCTGAAGTAAGAATTCTAGAAGAATGAAATGCTGCTCGGGATAAAAAAGACCTTTTACACTGTTTCCCATTTCACCTGACCAGGTAAAGTAGAAAGCTCCGTTTGTAAAGGAGAAATAATCCAGCAGCTTCTAGAGCCTCCGCCAGCAGCAGGATCTCTCAGTGGTTCTATTTCACTCTCACATGGTTCTGGAGGAGTCTAGGTCCATTTGTCTTCTAGTGTCCCACCACTCAGCCTGGCTCTGGTCTGGACTCTGGACCACTGCCGCGCCCTGATTCTGTTGCTGCTGTGTTCTGGACCATGGTTCAGTTTCATGACCCGGTTTGGTCTGATCTTCAGCAGCCAGACAGATGGTCTTACATCAGAGCCGTGTCCAGGACTTTTAAAATGGGGTGGCCCATGTGGGGCACTAGTTTATTCATGGGTGGCACCAATGGTTATGCTTATTTATTTATTTACACAAATCTTTATTTATTTATTTACTTTCTAGTGAATTTTTGAGTTTCACATTGCACAACCATTTTTTTCTATTCATCTTCTACTTTTGTGGTGGTTAGCAAGTCACTTCTGGTTGCATTACTGCCACCAACTGGATTTGAGTGGGACTCTAAATACTACGTATGTGAATATGAAAAAATATTAAATAATATTAATACTTTGATGCATGAATTATGAAATCTTAAACCATGATTTTTTTAAACAATTTTTTCATTCATCTTTAGGTGCAAATGAAACAAATTTCATATTTACATATTTTTTGTAACATTTAATTTACAAATAATTTATTACATGTCCACCTCAGTGGACAGCGTGCATTCTGAACATGAAATATGGTGGCTTGACTTACTGAAGTCCAAATGGAGGCGCTCAAATGCAATAAAGTCTTCAACATCTGTGCTTAATAGCAAAAATAAATAAATAACAATTTTGAGTACCTGTCCACTGTAGTGACCATTATGCATCAAAGGGTTAATACTACATGCCTAGGCTAGATAATAAGGTGAACGGTGCATGCAACCGCGCACTATTTAGGAGTTTACAACCCAAGCCTTTTGTCGACAATGTAAAGTCAATTTAAACTGGAACTTAGTGGGTTGGCACCTGGGGTGGCCAATCAGATTCTAAGGGTGGCATGTGCTGCCCCAGGCCACTCCCTGGACACGCCCCTGTCTTACATTAGACTCTATAAGACTTTAGTCTCCAGAGGAGTTCAAGATGGAATTAATGAGTCCCGCTGGATCAGAACCAGCCCAAACCATCAGCCCTCCACCACCGTGCTGACAGCTGGGATAAGCTGTTAGTGCAGGAGTGCATTATGGGTAAACATCTCCTCACTGGAACGTTGTTCCAGAGACGTTCTGGTTCATTCAGATGAGCTGCTGTGACCTTTAACCTTTAACTTGCTGACTAAAGCCTGTAGAGTCTGAAAAGGATCTCTCTGGTTTTGTTTAAATTCTCTGAACTTCTGCTCCTCATCGACTCAGTTTCAATCAAATGAGACATTTAAACTTGATTTTGATCATTCTGAAGAGTTGGTGAAGACAAAGTAAAGTGTCGTGAACCTATAACCTGTGTCTGGTAAGTTATTTTTCCTCTTTTTTCTCTTCAAGACACTCGCAGAGTACAGACGCTTCCCTCTTTCGCTCCCTTATCTTTTTTTTCCCAAGGCTCTTTGTCCTGTCTGCCCACAGAGCGCTTCTCTGCATTTCTTCTGAAAAACTATTTTTACTAACCATGGATTTGATAAACTGGTCATTCAATACGATTGATAAGATTTTTTCAACAATGAGAATGGAGCAGGGGGCTCCCACAGGCCCACAGGGGGACACACCCAGTGGGGTATATGCTGGATTCCTGGAAGGAATGGAAGATCGTATGCCTCTCCCAGCTGTCCATTGAGGATATCGAAGACGTGTGGATATTCCGTCTGATGATCACTGGATTTCTCCTGATTGGCGTGGGAGGATATCTGGTTTTCTGGAAATTTGGGAAGACGGGAGCGATTGGAGGGCGACCCGCACCCACGGAAAGCACCGTCCATGTGAAGACCTCACAGACTGGGACGTTACTCGAGGTGAATCGTAAGCTGGACAATGTTCTAGCTGCGAAACCGGTATTAGTGCGCAAAATGGATGTCATCTCGGAGAGAGTCACTGGACTGTATGGACAGGTTTAAAAACCCAAATTGGCTTCACTGAAGGACTGGAAATGATCAGTTTAAAGACTGAAGGCAGAGAGGAAAATTATCTCAGCCTGACCCAAACAAATTCTTGTTATCTGAATCTGACGCCCTGGTAGCCTTGAGCTGCAAGCAACTAAAACCCCCACGAAGGAATGCAGACAGATGCTGTGAAAACCCGACCTACCCCCCTCTGCCTTCGGATTGGTGGACTTCAGCCTGGCGAGGTCATCAGCTGGAGGAGTCAATGTGCTCTTTGCTTCCCCCAAGATCTCCCTCCCACCTGTGACTGTACAGTAGATGAGCGCCGTAGATGGCTGCTCTCGCTGGGGGAGCCCCCCACCCACCCTCGCCTTCCTATCGGAGTCTCATGTTATGTTGTGTGTTGTCTGAAGTCTGTTGCATATCTGTGAGGTGTTTTTTTGCAGAGCAAAGCTGCCCTCCCGGTGGAGGGTAACTCTGAAGTGCCTTTTTTTCCTTCCACCTGAACCAATCCTCATGTAACCCTCTAAGCTCTATTAAGGTAGCGCGACTCGGGTTGCGAATGACCACAGTCACCAATTCTTGTCATGTGTCTTGCCCATGTATGTCTGATCTCAGAATTGTGTGTACTGAAACTCAAATTTCCCTCTGGGATTAATAAAGTATTTATTGATTGATTGATTGATTATTGTAGACAGTAACTTGATCAAACCTCTCGAATCGTCCAGAAATATTTTCCCGCCAGGTCTCTGGGTGACGCGCACGTCTCCAGGTCGTCCTCTCTGGTCAGCCGTCGGAGCCACACCAGCTCACAGTTACAGTGCAGCGGGTTCCCTCCAAAGCTCAGCACCAGCGCCGTGAGAGGAGAACCCTTCATCTTGGCGTACACCGGGATCCGGAGGAACAGCGGGTCTGGAGGTATTTTCTTCAGCTTGTTGGACGTCATGTCCAGCCTGGCGGACAAAAACAGAGCTGGTGCTTAGTTATCCCGGAGAATTAAGACTCATACCTGCAGATAATCTCGTGGGATTATTTTTCTGCATGAGGCAAAAAGAGATTAAAGAACCTGCCAATATTTACAATCTCGCCCAAGATCTTGGAGAGAACAGCTGAACTTCCATCAGCCCAGCTGGAGCAGGACCATCTAGGCTGGTTTCATGTTCCCTGACCTTTAAAGTCCTTTTATTAAAAAGGGAAATGTTATTAATGTCAGATTTAACCATTTCATTTTCCTGTTTGTAAAGATAAATAGCCCACAGACGTGAAGCCACGGGGTGTAATTATGTGAAAATAAAAGCCAACATTTACTTTAAAGCCGGTCCAGACAGACAAAGTGCAGGGGAGGGGAGAAGAGAAGGGTCTGAGGGAGGAAGGAGAAACTCTGGTGACTCATTCCCTCAAAATCATATCTCAGGGTTCGGCGGTGATGTTGATGTGGATGAAGTGGGAGGCGAGAGGAGATGGGATCAGGTGGGAGGCCGTGTGAAAAGGTGAGATAGAAGGAGGGAAGGAGGAGGAAAAGAAAGGGCAAGATCAAAGGAGATAATGAGAGGAGAGCTGTAAATAGCTCAAATCAGCTCGCTTCCAGCTCAGCCCGGAGCTGAGGGAATCACAAATATCTGCAGCTGGGTTATAAATCTGAAAAGTGTTTCCATGAATGTCACAGGATGGAAATCTCTCAGCCTCTTTGTTGGGCTGCGCTTTACGGCGAGGTTCAGTCACACGGAGGAAGATGGATTCGGTCAGCTCACATTTCCTCCCTATTCAGATGCAGGAGAACCCAGCGGTCATGTGAACGTTTGGCGTTAGAGGACGCACAGAAGATCAAAACAAACAAATCTGGAAAGAGGTTAAACAAACCAAAAGATGCAGAATTAGCTCTCGCACTTTATTTAAACGTCACTGCGCTCGGAGCAGTTTGCATTTCAACTGGTCAGACCCTGTGCTTGCCCTGGGTTCATCACTTGGTAGTCATGGAAACGGGGTGAGGCAGTGAGGCGCTGATCGGAGTGGGCAGGACCAAAGCTGGTTCGGGCTAACTTCACACCAGAGGCGGAGAACGGAAAATAAATCAACCCTCCTGGTAAGTTATCCTTCCTTTTTGGTTTTTCTTCTGTTTTAATCCTCTTCCAGCAAAACATCCGTTTGTCTCTAGATCATCAGACATGTCCAAAGTGTGGCCCGGGGGCCTTGACGGCCCTCAGAGGGATCCTGCGCCTGCATGCAGTTCTAAAATAACGACATTTGTCTCTCCAGGAGAACGCTGATGTGGATAAAAGCTTTCCCACGTTTTTATTGTCAGGATTTTACCAACATGACTGATTTGCACCTACTGTATACTTTCTAGTAACAAACATTAAAATGTAAATAAAAAATTAGCATTTTTAAAATTTAAAACTTAAAAAATCACATTTTTGCAGCCTGTGAGGACTGTTAACCTCAATGTCACCAAACCGAGGTTGTTCAAAACAGCTGAGATAACGTTTCCTCAGTTTCAGCCTTCAGGAGCTGAACCATCACCTCCACCTAACCCCAACCCTGCAGGGAAGCCATACTGACCGGGCCAGTTTGTGCAGGTTGGAGAAGATTCCCTCGGGAACGCTCTCGATCAGGTTGTGGTCCAGGCTGAGGGTGTTGACGCTGACCAGCAGAGCAATGGTCTCCCAGGGGATGTCCACCAGGTTGTTATAACTCAGGTCCAAGTCCTCCAACGTCTCCAGGAAGTCCTGCGAGGGCAGCAGAGTCAGGGGCCGTGTGCATAATCACCTTTTATTCAACATCAGATGTAAAAACGTTGTTTTTAAAGTGTGGAACGACCCAGTCGTGTTATTTTTTTTAAACGATTGCATCACTGGTGAATGCTCCAACCCCGCGGGGCTCCAGCAGACTGACTAAGAGGATGAGAAACTCAGAGCTGAATGCTCTTGGTTTGGTGTTTAATTACAAACATATCTACCGATATCCTTCAAAAATGCAATAGTTTCACTGATCTGACTGATTTCCACAGTGTTACCTTTTGTTTGTACCAGATAAACGAGGCTTAAAGAGTAAGTCACCCCCAAATCAGCTTTTTTTTGCTGATAAACTATATAAATGCATGTCTGATCGTGCTGCAGACACGTGTAGTCAATAGTTTAGCACTTCAGTGCATCTTAGTTAAAATTTAAAGAGCAAGTCACCCCCTACAAGAAACTTACTCCACTCCCACTTCATGTTTGAAAAATGCAACAAATGCTGTTGCTTTGCAGACCAAGAGGGCGGAGCCGCTAACAAATACACACACACACAGGCTCACAATGGCATTATGACATCATAATGTACCAGATGACATCATAGCATACCTCTTAGCCGATAGCGGCGGCAGATTTAAATTCAAATACAGTGCAGAATTTTTCCCTGAGGACGGCGCAACGCTGACAGTTTTAGGCAGAATATTTGAATTTTAACCAAGATGCACTGAACTGCCAAATTATTGACTACATGTGTTTGTAGCACGATTATACACTCCTTTATATAGTTTATCAGCAAAAAAATGTGATTTGGGGGTGACTTGCTCTTTAAATATTCTGCCTAAAACGGTCAGTGATGCACCGTCGTCAGGTAAAAACTCAGCACTGCATTTGAATTAGAATCTGCCGACGCTATTGGCTAAGAGGTACACTATGATGTTAGATTGTACCTTATGATGTCGCAATGTTGTGAGTGTGTGTATTTGTTACTTCTCGGTCTGCTAGGCAACAGCATTTGTTGCATTTTTCAAACAGGAAGTGGGAGTTGTGTACGAATCTGGTAGGGGGTGACTTGCTCTTTAATGAAGTATTTTTTAAACTTTTACAAGGCTTGCTCTCCTGTTGTCGCTGCTTGAGTAATAAAATATGAGAGTTAAATAGGGAATAAAATGACTGCATTTAATATTATTTAATGAGGTCAAACGTTGTATTTCACCAGCAGTTTTAGGCTGTAGACACACCTGACGAGCATCCTTCGGGTTTGTGCTGCTCGTCGAGTCCGTTTAAAGTCACGTTTGTCTCTAAAAGGACTTTATTATCGCTGCAGCTGAAGAGGATCAGGCGCTAATGTGTCCATCGGTTTATTTTTAGCAGAATAATGTGGTGAAAACATGTGAGACACCTCACCTGGTGTTTTCTAAGATGACAGAAAAAGAAGAACATTTGTGTAAAAAAAAAGGGTGAAAAGTGTTTAGAAAATGAATAAAGTTTATAAACTAAAACGTTTATCATGAACGAACATTTTAGGGGTTTGTGTTATGGCATAAATCCATTCTGACACCAAACTAGAGTTAAACCGCTGTCGGTACAGGATTTGCTCGGGGTCCTTCGACTGCCGATGACGTCAAAGTACGGCAAACCCACCCGGACAAAATACACTACACATCTTTATACTGTTGGAATGAATTTAGCAGTTTCGTTATTAAAATAAGTTTGTGTTTATAATGGTATTTGTAAAATAAAACACTATATTGACCTGACCTCAGCTATCTCTCACCTAATGTATCCTCTGTAATCTCCAACCTTGGAGTAAAAATGGACCAGGCTCTGAAGATGGATGCCCAGGTCAATAACACAGTTAAATCATGTTTTTACCAACTAAGACGCATCTCAAAACTAAAGCACATCCTGAGTGTCGGTCTTCTGAAATCGGTGGTCCACACTTTTATCACTTCAAGGCTGGATTACTCTAACTCCTGCTTATACGGCATCAGTAAAGCAGCTCTTTCTAGACTTCAGCTGGTCCAGAATTCAGCAGCTAGGTTGCTGACTGGAGCTGACAGAAGACAACACATTTCTCCAATTCTGAAATCTCTCCACTGGTTGCCCGTGCAGTTCAGGATAAACTTCAAAATTATGCTTCTCACTTACAAATCCTTGAACCATCAAGCTCCTCCAATATCTGTGTGAACTTGTCCATTACTACAACCCGCCGCGTGCTCTCAGGTCTGAAGATAAGCTCCTCCTAGCTGTTCCCAATGCTCGTTTAAAAAGCCGTGGAGAGAGGGCTTTCTCTGTCTGTGCACCGAAGCTGTGGAACGCATTACCACTGCTAGTGAGGCTAGCACCAACAGCTAGCATTTTTAAATCACGCCTGAAAACTCACTACTTCAACCTAGCTTATACCACATAATTATGAACCTCACTCACATCTGCACTGTTTAAAAATGGACTCCACAATTATCGACTTCCGTATTATTGTGGTTCTTTTTAAAATGTTCTTTCTAATTTTTATTCACCCAGTGTCTTATTGATTTTTAGCTGTTATTTTTGGGAATTTCCTTTTTATCTTTTATCTGTGTTCGACATGTTTGTATAACGCCTGTTTAATTAACCAACATTTGTAGTGTACAGCGCCTTGTTTGGTTGTAATGCCTTGTGAATGCGCTTTATAAATAAAATTGGATTGGATATATTGTATTCATAATGTTGAACTCCTCTTTGAGCACATCCCTTGAAGGATCATAGGTATTAGCAACACCTGTGAAATTGTATTTGCAGGAAAGAAGTGTGTCCCGTTTATTGAAGTATTTTGTGTTTAGAGTTTTTGACGTCTTGTCCATGCGTAGTTCAGGTACGCTCATAGCTGCTAGCCAAAACTCTGGAGTTAAAAGTTTTCTGGCTTTACTAAAATACCTGTCTGTACTTATTTGATTGATGGTAGTTTTACTTTCTGTTAGTCTCCAAATGTAATCATTTGGCACGTTTCTAATTCATAATTTGTAATAATGTAATCGGCGATATTAGCATTAGCATTCCTATGGGTTTTTCCATGTATATTAGCATTGTGCTAACCACTCGCTGCCAAATTGCAGCCTTTGCGATTAGAAAATCTCCTTTTGTCACATCGCAATTTAATTGCACATGCAGTTAATCGTTCAGCCCTAATATACATGCAGCTCTATGCTAAAAGTGTATTTTCAAAGAGGTAATGATGGATTTCTTTGTAAAAGTTGTCCATCTTTCCAACAGAAAAATTTGCCTGGACCAACGTAACGTGATAACAACCTAACGTGACATAACTCCCGTAAGGTTCATGTTCAGCCAATCAACTACTTTGACGTCATCGGCAGTCGACGGACCCCGAGCCGATCTTGCACCCGAGCAGATCCTGTACCGACACCGGGTTCCTCCAACAGCCTCGTGATGTTTCCTTAATCACCGACGCCAGCTGACATTAGAGCCAGAAAAGCACAAAGAGGCAGAAATAAAAGGCCGCAGGTTGTTAATCTGCTGGAGCGCCGCTGAAATCGCTCTCACACCCAACAGAACCAGGAGGCTGTTTGAATTTCTTAATTCCTCCATTTTCATCACAGTAACTTCTCCTTTGTTGCTTTTTGAGCCAAAAT